AATCCTACTTTTGAAATATGTCCCATTAGCGTAGATTATAGGAGGGAAGTATTTCGAAATATATTATCCATCCTTCCAAAAAGAGACACAAGAAAGGATTTCAAGTTAGGCACACTACAAGCAATAGAAGTGATGCTTTTGATAAAAATCAAGACTTTCGTCCCCATACGTCACGTATTTCATTGAGGACGTACTTTAAATACGTGTTTGCCATTTCGCAAACAATAAATGAATTAATCACTATCCAAGGGAATGGAGCGCCGAAGTCGCGACCATACATACATTCGCTAGTATTCAATACATCTATATTTATGCTGCTTGATTGCGATTTTTTGTTTTCATAAATGAATGTAAATAATAAAATGTATGTTTCTATTTAAGATTGAATTCATTAATACCCATGGCTTTTAGAATAATCTGGAATAAATCTTTTATTTTAAAAAAAAATTAATCCTTACGTTTTCTATTGGGCATCCTGCATATTGCATGAAGGAAATGGAAGGCTTGATATGAGAGAAATTTCTCATTCTACTTTTCCCAATTCTCGTACACTCCTGTACTTCCATACTTAATTTAAACATTAAATGAATTTCCCGAGTCATATATTGCCAAGAAAATATCATAATTGCATGCTTTCCACATATATGTTTATAAATTCCACGGTAAAAAGTGAAAGAATGGAAGGAAAGCCTCATACAAAATCAGGAAAGCAAGTACTTGATTGCATTCATAGGGTGCATGGGACATGGGTTCCATCTAGTGAGGAGTCTTGGTACTGCAATTGCAGGAGGGTCAGATAAAGTTTCAAATGGATGGTGTGGTTTTGATTTTGCATAAAAGTTCTGTCATTTGCATTAAATCAGATGAACTCATATTTAGTTTATACTAGCGAGTTTGTTTGCCCGAAGGACAAACAAACTCGCTAGTATAAACTCAAACTCGCTATGGTCGCGCCTTCGGCGTTCCATTACCTTGGATAGTGATTAATTCATTTATTCTTTGCGAAATGGCAAACACGTATTTAAAGTACGTCGCCATTGAAATACGTGATGTATGGAGACGAAAGTCTTGATTTTCATCAAAATCATTATTGTGATTTCTATTGTGCCTAACATAAAAATTCCCCCAGGGGATGTATCGAGAGTCAACATTTTTCTTTAACTCCTTGTCTTAGTAGTCACATTCATGCAAAGTTCCAGCTTTCCATGTCTCTCCGTTTTATTCAAGAAAAATTATGTTATGGAGAGGGAATGAGTAACGGGACATGGAAGGCAAAAAAAGCCAAAAGATAGCGAAGGAATGGCCGGGAATTGAACCCGAACCTTCTGATTGCCACTCATAGATGGCACAGTTACATGCCAGTCATAGTCACACCACCGAACCCAGCACAACCAGTTGACTCTCTGAATGCCATCCACATCTGTCACAAAATATATTTAAGAAAAGCGTTTCCCCCCCAAAATATGTACCCCCAGGGCATGTAACTCCAAAGTCAGATTTTTTCTGAACTCTGCATCCCAAAAGGTACATGTGTACCAAGTTTCAGATTTCTAACCCGTCTAAAACCTAGTTAGAATTAGCGTCAGTCAGTCACCATCGTCTATATAATTAGATGCTGTTTGCGGCATTTGAAAGGAAAATTGATGAACTTAAAAATGGTGTAATTATATTTCAAGTATCTTCAACATTTTTAGAAATTCTGTAGCTAATAGCAAAAAAAAGTAAAACAGCCTTGCCACACACGCGGACGCAGACGGCATGTGACCCTCAGGCGCCGACCGTCCATCCCCACTGCTACAAAAACAATGCAGTGTTTTGTTTGTTGTTCATATGAGCTTGAAAATTTATAAAACTGCAGACGATATTTGAAATGTAAGTACAACATTTTGAAGCTTAGTCATATCTCTTTCAAACACCGCATTTAAATATGTGCAGTGAGTGCAGTATAGTGAATCATTAGAAACCGTCCGTTTTTTATCTACCCTGTATATCAGCTCGCTTTATCGTCATGTTTTACTGGAGGGAAGAACAAATCGAGATTCACTTTCCTGTTAAAAAAATGTTCCCCAAGATGATATACCCAAAATGGATATATTTGCTGTAATTGTAACCCTGATGACAACATGATTACCAAATATTTTAGCTTCCTATTTTTTTCCAAATTGTTGAAGCGAATATTTCTTTTGGAAAACGTCCCATCAAAAATTGTGCCCTAAGGGTATGAGCCTTGACAATCTAGTTTTTTTTTCCCGAGCGTAACATCATTACAGCAAATTATGTGGCAATTTTCAGCTATATCTGCCCGAATCCCTGGATGAAAATATATCCTTGCAAAACGGACCCCCATAAAATATTCCCAGAGGTGAAAGTAAATTTGCCTGTAAAGTAATTTTTTGTGAAATCTGCATATCAATAGCCACGTTCATTCCTCGTTTCAGCCTTCCATGTCATTTCATTTGACTAAAGGTGAAAATTTTCTTTAAGAATTCTTTCCCCCCCCCCTCAAAAAAAATCCCCCCTAGAGATGTATCTTGAAAAATAAATTTTAAAAAAGCACATTAGTATGATCATGTTTATATTCAAATTTCCATGTTTCTCTGTTTATGAAAGTAAAAGTTTTTTTTTAAACGTCTTCCTGGAAAAATACACTCTGAGGGCATTTACCTCCATAGTTGGAGTTTTCCGGAACTCCACACTACAATAGCTATTTGTGTACCAAGTTTCAAATTTCTAGTTTCACAGACTATGGAGTAGCGATCTTCATTACATTTTGGTGATCCATGAAAACCAAAGCTATCATTTTTGGTAAGTTGTAAATCTGATTATAGGTTGGCCATTTTTATTAAATTTTGTAAACACATAGTTTGACTCAATTAGGATTTACATGCATAGTTTCAGATAATTATAAAACTGAGATTTGCATTCAATTTACATTTCGTCACCAAAAAATTAGGAGTTCATGTTTTAGCTAAAATTTTTCACAACTTTCAAAAACAAACAGGCAAAGAAACAGACCAAAAACAATTGCACAAATGCTAAGCACGAAATCGCACAATTTGGTTAAAGGACGTTCATTTCAACTGAAAAGGTGCTCAATGTGCTCAATTCTGTTAAACACTAGTCTCTAGTCTGGGACACCGAGGATCAATGGCCATTGAGGCAGTGCCTCCCAATCTTCCTTTGTGGCATGGATGGAAGTTCATGAATTCTAACCTTCCTTTCATCCTGGCCTAAAGTTCACTTCGAATTTTCAACAGCACATTTTGTCATCGGCCATCAGGAAATAATTACGGCTCCTATAATTTTGAAGCCAGAAAGCTTAAATTTAGTATACAAACTCCAATGGTGTTACCCTCTAAGTCTACCAATTTTAATCTATATCGTTTTCCTAGAAAGAGATTGACAACTCACCAAAAATGTCAGCTTTTTTTGGCCCACCCAGTATATTACAGTGCTTTCCAAATGAATTCGTACCACCTTTAACATGGGGCCCGCGCTTTTTTATGGAGTAATTCTCCGAACCTGTATGGTTGCTCTTTTTTTCGACGGCATCCAACGTACGTAGAGTCAATTACAGTGGATAAGAGAACGTTGAAGTCAAGAATAAATGTCAAAGGAAATATTTTTTGCCTTTTGCGAGGGAAATGATTGGTTGGAATAAGACGAGAGAGTTCGGGAGGACATGGAATGAGAAATTGCTTTAGGGAAATTTTAAGAGGAATCATCTACAAGTGTGTAAATGGAAATGAGTTTTGCACCATTCGAAAGCCTTGACCTTTCTTATCAACTGCTATTAAACCTGACGGTTTGTGATTACTAGTTTTGGAGTTTTTGAAAGAGGTTTGCGCTACAAAACTCCAGAGCATCCCTGACCTCATCAAAGCCACTTCCATCAAACTTAATGCCACAAGCTTGGATATGTGCCTAAAAGCAGGCAATGACTTCCCCTCGGCAATGTCGTATTTCTCATGATCAGAATGGGAATCAATTTGACTGGCTAAAAGATTGAATCCTGTCCTTCTTCTGGTAGATGCTAGGCGCTATACTCAGAATTAAATAACAAAATGTTGATGTGTCCATTCACTTAGTCTTTGTCTCCGTCCAAACTTGGGACAGGGTTTCGGGGACACCCTATAGTATTCTTAGAAGGGGGGAAGCAAACAGAAGTCAGATACAGTGAAGGATGGCTACAGAACAATGTTTCAATCTTTATGTCATGTAATCCATCGCACCTACAGATTTGTAGGGCTTCTGCAAAACATAAAAAAAATCAAATCATGGATGTCGACGGCAATTGCTATATTCATATACACAGCCCAACGTATACCTGAAGTAGGTCGAGTATTTGACGTCCAGGCCTCGGGACATGAGAGTGCATGACTGCCCAACCTGGTGCTTGGCGAAGATCCTGTGTCTCAACGACTCTTCTATCCTTCCATACGAGCCGCGCGATGTCATCTTTGCTACACGGTAGCTCCAAATAGACTGGCCAATTGTTACGATGTGGCGCTATGAAGCGGGAGGGAGAATTCTATCCTCAGGAATGGAACGATAGTTGGACTTCCTCTTCCAACGCATTGTATGCTCCATTGAATGACCATGCGCAGTGTTAAAGGTGATACGAATTCATTCGCAATAAACTATAGATTCATACATTGGAATGGCTGCTAAGAGTGCACCCAGTCAATAAATTGCAGGATTGTTGTTTCGAACATTCATTGCCCTTGAGCCGATTACATTTTTGCGCTATACCATAAACCAAAACCCTGAGTTGTCTTGAAGTACTCTACCGAGCCCAAGAGGCAAGCAATCCATTGATGCCGAAGTACAAATGTACAAGTAGCTAAACCAATTTACTGGTAACCGTGTACAATATAAGAGCCGTACATATATATGCGAAAGTCTCAAATTCTACCAATATATTTTGTGGCAGTATACCCCGTTTTTGGTCACATATAACTTTTGAAATATTGATTAGGAGTGAATTTCTATAGGTGCGCATGGATAAAGAGAAGAAGGAGAAGCCTTTCAAGGAAGCGGAACCCTGGCCCGTCATGAAACACTATCCTGAAGCAGGAGAAAAACACTATTCCCTCCCATATGGCTTGCTCCTTGATGAAAAAGACTTCAACCTGAGTAAAGATCCAAAGAACTACAAGGACGTGGACATTTTCCACGAATATGCAGCCATTGCTGCTGTTTTCGACCGAGTGAAATTTGTTTGTGGAGATGTTCCGTCACTAGTGGTTGCAGATTACAAGTTCTCTGAGACATTCAATGAGAGACAATATGTTTTTAACGCTAGGACAAGCCGCCGAAATATTCCGGACTTAAGAGAAGGGTCTCATTGCATCCTGCTGTCTTACCCAACGGAAGATAAAGTTATAAGTGAGTATGCGAATGGATCAGGAGAATCTCATGGATGAGATAAAGGATTTGATTGTGAAATGCAAGAAAGACAGAGACGTATTTACCACAGTGTGTGCACCCTTCCTCGATTCCAATGCTCTAGTCATTGCCTTCCCTTCCTTCCCTCTCCTCAACATAAGGACTTCGGCATTTTGTGAATCGTGCGTGTCGAAGATGTTGACAAAAAATGATCTCCAGGATCCAGATGCTTTTCTCGCCTTTCTCAAAAAAAATGGCGTTGAACTGCCACCAACAAAGGCAAACTGCACAGCCAACGCGAAAGAATTATTTCGAAATATATTTTCAGTCTATATCTGTGCGTCCTCCGCTCTCAACCTACCCCGGACTCGTCAGGAATATATCGAAGTTTCCGGGGTCCGAATGAAAGAAACTTTATTACTTTTGACTGAGGAGCAACAAAGACTAGTGGATGAAAAATCGAAGTGGCTCCTCATGACAGGAGCATCAGGCACAGGGAAGACACTTATTTTGAAGAAGAGGGCGGAACGTCTGGTAGGGAAGGATGGTGAAGGTGTGATAGTTATTAACCTGGCTGGCGGATGTCTCACAGAAGACCTTCGTCGCGACCTCAATGGTTAGTGGCATACTTCCCACTCCTAATATGAACGAAGCCATCTTAATATTTCGAACGTATTCTTCAATAAATGAGTTTTTATATTTGGTAGACTTCTTTTTGGATTTTTTTTTACTTTTATAGTTTCCCTCATACGCAGTTACAGTTTTCATACCTTCTGGAAATTTCAGCTTCCAATTGGAAAAAGCTTCGAACCTTTCTGCATATCATCATGTTTCGAACTCCATCTAACCATCTCATCAAAGGAAGAATTTGGAAGGTTATGCAAGCCCTTTAAATTATTTTGAGTGGTTTGGCATATTTATTTTCTATGTTCTCATTAGAAATACCTAAGAATTTATTCCTTGCAGGATTCACCATGCAGGAAAGGAATTTTGAAAAAACTCACCCGCAAAAAGCGTTTATCTGAGTTCATCTGATTTTATAGTCTTAGAGGGAAAAATGTAACATCAAATCCTGCACGAGTAATAACGTATTCTAGAACACCATTGGATAATCATCGTGACATGCATTTATTCCAAACCACTAAACCGATCTTAATGGTGTTGCATCTTAAGAAGGCGAAGGAGCTACTTTAATTCTTCACAATCCATAGTAAAGGAATCAAACTCGATAATAGTTATCCCGGACCTTTATTGACAAAAGTTCGCGATGCTTCCATCTACATTGTTGAAGTTTTATAAAAATGGCCTTTTCCCAGTTATTTTAGAGTGGAGGACTCTTTTATGAGAGCCTCCCTTTTTGAAGGCTGCCAGAAGGCGTGTTCAAATCGACGAGCTTGGGATCTCTTGTTTCAAATGCGTAGCTCCGGGTCCTAGAGATTCTCATGGACAGTGGCGCTCCGCATCCTCTCACTTCGTGCGACACCTGCCACCCGCCGCAAGCACCCCATCCGAGCAGCTCGTATCCGTGTCCTGATCCTTCAGGTCATTAGCCAATTTCATGGCTGTAGGTTACAAGGGGGGGGGGGGAAATAAATACTCTTAAAAACCGAAAATTTTACCTCCTTGAAAATTTTCAATTTAGCAACCACAGTTATCCAGAGTCCCCACAAAGCGAAGCATGCCCAGGATATGCGTCACCCCAGAGCCAGGATACTTAATTCGTTCCGCTGCTCAAGTGTTCTCCTTACATGTTAGGAACACTGTACAGGATTTCTTCACCATAGCCAGCATTTTGGAGACGCATTTCGGATTTTCATTTCGGATGCAAAGTAATGGAGTTTTCAAAATATTTATAAGTATGAAACTCTAGCAAATTTTATTTGCCTCATTCCTATGACTTATCGTTTCCTGTCTTTAATTCAGTCTGGTGTAGTCATGCTTTTCATGGACTACCATATTTCTAACGTTACTAAATTGCGTGTATAAGGAGGTCCAATTTCAATATAATGGGGTCCACATTTAGATTGGCCTGAAACAATAATGGGGTCAGATGAAAAAAATTAACGAAAAGTATGTGCGAGCGTCGAAAAAAGTCTAGGATTGTTGGATAAACAGTGAACTAAAAAAAAATACTGTTGAGCTCGGTCATAACGACCTCAGTTATGACGAAACCCATGTTATAACGATGACAAGTGCCAGGTCCCAGCGTAGGTCCCATAAGGCACGTTACATTTTACCCAGGTTATAGCGAGACCCTCGGTTATAACGAAGTCCATTGTAGGTCCCACTGACGAAATCGACTACATTGACGCCCCAGTTCGTCATCCCTAACTGGAATTTCCATAATCGGAAAAATGAGTCATAGTGAGTCATAAATTAATCTTTCCAGGAATCGGCATTCCTTGAGATTCATGTGAATATGTCGGGAGGAGGGGGAGGAAGGTATAATACCCAGTAACAAAAAAATTGTTTGTATTATCTTCAGCCCCCATTTGCATTTCTCGTTGACATGGCCAGGGAAAAACTAAAGAGTGAACTTTCTTTTCAATCGTGAAGACAAGCCTTCACGATTGAAAAGAAAGTGCATGATTAGTTTAATCGAAAGTGGGAGAAGTTAAGCTAACTTCGCTCGTGAACATGGACGTATTTCACCTCCATTATTTTCATACATTGCGTTTATGAGAAGAACATGTCACAAAACAAGGAACTTCGTATATCTGTCGAGATGACTTCGACGAGCCTTGTGGAAGTATTTCAAGGTCCCAAGAAGTGCTAACATCATTATTTGTTGGTCAATGCTTAAACTGAAGCGGCATGACTGATGTACAGTGGAGTTATGTTGTTATATTGCTTCCATTTTGAAAATGAGGGAACGGAATGTCAATAAGGGCAACCTCGGTCATAACGAACCTTGGTTATAGCAGCGATTTTTCCCAGGTCCCTTCACTGACGTTATAACCGAGTTCGACAATACTTGCAGGTAAGGATATCACGGTGGTGGACGGGAGAGAAGAAGGAATATCGGAAAATCTTCCGAAACTCATTGCCTTTCTCGAGAAACAAGCAAACAAGGACGTTCTCATTGACGAAGTCTCCCTTACTTTGGGAATTCAAGGTCCTCTTGTTAAAACGAGTCTCAACGAGCACTGGAAGCAGATCTTTAACATGGTGAAGCATGTAAGAAGTCTGACAGTTGCATTCCGTCCCAATGATCCCACCTATACAAAGGATATAAACCCGAGCGGCATCGAAATCCCCGACGTTGACAATCATGGCAATATCGAGGTTCACATTTTGACAGGAGTGAAGAGGAACGCGCAACAGGTGTCGCAATTATTCTTGGCACTTGGAGACTACTCCCGTCGAACCTTTGTCTGCAAGGAGCCCACAATTAGGGGCGTGACATTACCCGATCCTAAGGAGCCGTCAATGCCGAAATTGCTTCCCATCCCATCCTGCTCCACTCTCCATGACAGCGAGAAGGAACTGACGTGCGAAGCCGTTAGATGCTCCCAGGTCATCCACAAATACCTGGGAAAGTTCCCCACCGCTTCACAAAACCCTTTATATGTCGTCGTTGACACAACTGAACGACGAAATCGCTTAGTGAATGCCCTCTGCTTGGTATACAAGATTATTGTCAAGTTCGTGGACGCAGAGGGACGCTTTTTGGTAAAGTCCGTGAACCCAAATGGACGCCTCAATTCTAACACATCCGGTGTTGTCATTTTGACTGCTGACCAGGCTCTTGGGTGTTACTTGCATGACGTTCTCATCATGGATCTGCCAAAGTGTACATGGAGAAACTTTGTTCGAATGGTGTCTTCGCGTCGAAATGGTATCATAATTGCCATAGAACCCGAATCTCTGCAAGTAGGAAAATACTCCTTCATCAACGATAAAGCAATGTTTGGTGAGACAGCAGAAATGTATGCAATGAATATTCAAGAGTACAAAGAAGGACTTGAGGAAAAATTGAAAATTGCTTTTGACTTTGAGGACCAGCAGATGACACACTTTGATGCGATGGCATGCCAGAACTCCATGCCAGATCACCAAGAAAAGACAGTGCTCAATGAGTTCGAAGCGCGACGCGAAGTGGTGATTATAGATGAAACGCGAAAGGAAGGCATTGCAAGGCTGAATGTAATCCTTGGGCATTCTTCATCAGGAAAAAGTTATAAATTGCTTGACATGATCACAAGTATCCCCCGCCACGAACAGGCCCAGCATAAGATTCTGCTCTTCCTTATGGGAAGTGTTCTAAGTAAGGAAATATCAGTGGGTCATCTCGACAGACGTGGACAAGAAATCCTAAACGATCTAGTCATTATTCGATCAGAAGCGCTCTCCCCAATTAATATCATCAAGCATGCTGTTGTGAAGGACATTGCCTGGCGACACCTCCCAGAAATTATGTACATTTTCGTCGATGATTATTCTATCCAATCCTTTGGCACTGAGGACGAGATCAAACTCTGGAATGAGGTACTGGAGGATTTAAGAACTTGGGGGAAAAACCTAAGACTGACAATTGTGTTTCAGTCGCATGCTGAAGGTGGTCGAAGAATTTCCATGAGCATGCTCATGACTTTCTTCGAGGAGAAAAAGGAAGAAGTGAGTGTTATAAAACTCCCTGCGTCGCATCTCCACCATTTTACAGACCCTCAGCTTCTCACTCACATTTCCAGGAATGAGACCAATACACAATTGGAGCTGGAAGCCAAAAGCATCCATACCAACCCTCGTCCAGGGGCCTGGGTCAAAGGCCTTAAACCAACATTCATCGAGTGCATGTATAAATGCGGAGGGCATCATGCGAATTATCCTTGTCGAGGTCAGAAAATGTGTGAACCTTACTTGGGTGCATTCATCTGTTTTCAACATTTATTGGCATCGTCGTTGGAGAGCCCTCCAATCCAAGAGCTAGCTCCCATATATATTCTTGTTTCAGACGTGAAGTTGATGGAACTTCTGCAAGAGACGACAGATGCTACAATAAAAGATACAGAAAAAACTAAAGGAATAGTGTTCATACACCCTAAAGAATTTCGGGGGTGTGAATCCAATGTTGCCGTTACTGTGAATGTAGAAGATTCCTGGCTCTTGGAAAGCTTGTCAAGAGGCCGAATAAATGTGTTCATAATCGATTGCATAATTGGTCATCAGCATGTTTGGGGCGCAATGCAAGATGAGGGACACGTAGGATTCCAGAAGGTGCAGTACGATGAAGGTAAACTATGCATGGACGAAGGAACTCTTCTCTGGCTGGATGCAATTGGAAACTTCCTACTGGTAAGTCATTTTCTTTTAACTAATAATCAATATATCTCCTCTTCCTCTTACACTGTTAAGTAATAGTCTTTCTTTTTCATAGTCTTCTTCAAGATATCCATGAACGTAGCGAATGTTAAGTCATAATGGGAAGCCACTCTTGGAAAGTGGGCGTAATTGTTTGCAGGTGAATTAACAGGGAAAAATGCACTACTAAAAATAATGTTATATGTTTGAATATTTGTCTAGGAAACCCTATTTACTCCAGAATAATCCTCGTCTTATTAACGCTTGGAAAGGCTCACATAGAAGCAAAATGTGTCAAGCGATCTCAATTTCGATTAAAATCTGTTGTGGTAAAGTACTTGAGAGGGACAATGATTCAATGTGAAGATGTCATATGTTATCGGTTTGGGGGGAAAGTTGTCAGCTTTATGGGCTTAGCAAGATGAGAAAATCCGAAACACCTCCTCACGATCCAGAGACATGAAATTCTATTGCGTCTCCATTTTAAAAAAGTACTAAGTGAACTGCTTAAACATCATCACCCCGCTATTTGGGAGTTCCCATTATATCAATATAGAAAGGGCCAGGCCTCACAGAACATCAAGAAGTTTGATTGGATGTTTCCTATGACTTCTCCACCATGATGTTATCAGCATTATTACTTTATATTCCTAGAGAGTAACATTACAATTCTCCCATTAGCTATGCAGCGATTTATAATATCTTACTTGTAATAATGGAAATTGTGCTGAAGTATATCAGCCTCATCAATGATTGTATTGACAGCATCAGCAGAGACGCGAGTCAGGGAGGGGGAAAAATACTAATAGAAGTTAAAGTTTGGAGGGGAGATGGGAGATGATGAGAAAAGGGCGTAAATTTGAAAGGATCGTTGAAAGGTAAGGAGAAATGTAGATATTTTTGGAAGGGAGCAGGTTCGACTTCCCAGATACCATATCTTAAACAAAAATGTGATGATTATGAACATAGAACTAATAATGCCTCAATTTCATAAGGGTACTTGGGAATGCTCTTGAAAATTCCGAGTTGAGTCGCATATCTGAACTGGGAAATAAAAGGCCTTCAGTCTGTAAATTTATAACCTATTTGAAGTTAGGGATTCTTGAGGATAGAAGACATTCCCTATAATTCAATGAATCTCCCAGATTCATAAAGGTAAACCATCGAAGCAAGTGCGAATCCTACTTTCATGAAGTATCGTATAAATATCAATGATGGATTTCTTTCAGGGATGTGAGACGTGTAAGGAGTTTTCTAGCCTCGGACGTCTTAGAGGCTATGAAAAAGTAGAAAATTTGGATATGCGCAATAAACGCATATACATGGGAGCGGATGATGAGAGACCCCTGGCTGAAGTCATGGGAGAATATGTGGCACAGAACTACCCAGAAGTCTGCACCAAAGCCCATTCCCTACCTGAGGGGTTCATTTTGAAACAGGAGAAATTCAAAGAACTTGAGGGTAAGATCCAGAAGGCTGAAGAAGAAGTGGACATGCCATTGGAACAGCAGTCCATCGCAATGGTGTTCGATCGCCTAAAATACGCATTCAAAGATGTGCCTTCACTAACAATTGCTGATTACACCTTCACGGAAACCTTACTCAGAGGCATCAATGAACAGCAAAAGGACTATTTCCTTAAAAAATATGGAATCACAGAGGAACACCTTGCATCTGGTGCTCATGATGTCTTTGGAATTGGAATATCTGACGAAGACATCTTGGGGTTGTTCTTCCAGATCGATCGAACTACATCGAAAGGAAATTCAAGTGCGGTATTTGAGTCGCTCAAGAAATGCACTCAAAGAGTTCGTAATGATATAAACATTTTCCGTACCGTTTGCAGTCAATTTTCCATTTCGTTCGTGAAGTTGGCCGGTTTCGCTGCTTTTCCAATGCTGAAGGAGTCTGATTTGCAGAAAGTAATCAAGTGCAAAAACTGTAGGATGCGAATCCTCACCTCGGAAGATCTGAAAAACCCAGATAGCTTCAATATATTTTTGTCGAGAAATGACATAAAAATAGAAACATTTTCAAATCGGGATCCTGAATCACCCAGCACGAAGTCCTACAAGGAAATCTTTAGTCTCTATGTTTGTGCAGCATCAACTGTGGAACTCCCTCGCAACCCCACTCAGCTGTACGCCATGAGTGAAGAACAAATGAAGCCGATGCTGGTGATTCTCACTCCCCGACAACGGGAATTAGTGAAAAGCGAATCGAATATCCTTTTGATGACTGGCACAAGCGGAACGGGCAAAACTTTCGTCCTCAAGAAAAGAGCCCTCGACTTATTTGAGAAAGATCCAGTTTTGGTGTTGAATCTTCCAGGAGGAGATCTCACTGAGGATTTTCGGGGTTTTTTTAAAGGTAAGTTAAACCTGTATTTCATGAATAGAATATTATCCGTATTTCTTCACGTTCATGCACTTGCAATGAAGTTGAGAGAGGTCCTTCACGAACATGTTACATTTGCCTGGATAACCCAATTCCATCTCAATTTGCAGAACTTCAATGAATTTGCCAAAGTTCTAAAAGCAGAAAAACTTTTCCTGATTGATCAATAAGACTTCCTGGGTAACCTGATTTACTGTATGAAACATAATTTTATTCAATGGACCACCTCTTGGCATGCACAGGCATTTCCTTCGTAAAACCTAACTGCGAAATTGGTATTGCTTTCATAATATTCTTCAATGACGAACAGTATGTATTGGATCCCACAAGAAAGCATTCCCTTAACGTTAACCAGCTTGTCAAGGATTCTTGTGTAAAAAAATTATCTTGATTCGTTAGGTTATTTGTGCCAAAATGATTTTTTCCGGATATTGTTATGCCTCCCGCTGAGGCGTCTCAGCTCCGAATGTAAAGTCTCTTCAGTTTTTGTTACTTTCTCCGTTTTTGGTCTGTCTTGATTTATTTCATTTATTTGATTGTCCTTTGCGACTGGACGAATTACGTCGTTCAACTTGAGGAATACTTTAGAATTGTTCCTATATTAGGCGCTGTCTTGGTGGGGGTTTGCTTGAGATGCTGCTCAGAGTTCCTGGTGATTGGGGAGGAATTACAATTTTGTGAAATTGTCACCAATGTCTTCCATAGATGTTAAGGTTGCTCTATGCTGGCACCAGACTTACGTCACCATTTTTTTCATCAGCTCAGTAGTTTTCCCCTCGAAGTGTTGTGGGAGAGGTTCACTAACACTCGATAGACAGGTACTGCTGACAATTTACTCTTGTAATCAAGAGGTTTTTGACGGCGTCTATTCTTTATTCAACACATTCTCATAAAAGTCAACCACTTCGGATTCCGGTTCAAGAACACCCCAAACGAAGTTACGCATGCTTCTTTCTCTCCCTTAAGGTACTAAGGGAAGATGAAAATCGATCCCCTAGAATCAAATTCTGGCTCATAATTATTGTAGAGGACCGCAAGGGAACCACTTGGAGCCACTTTTTGGCACTCTCAGGTCAAGCACTTGACCGTGGCGAATGGTCAAAGGTCACGGTTTACATGCCTCTCTTCGAAAATCTGTATCTCCCCAACCCTTGGTCGCAGAAACGTCAAAATTGCGCCATTCTCCTCGCCCCAGAACATATTAAATGATGAGCCCCAAAACGCGCGCATCTCTCTGCTCCCCGAGACGCTGTGGCGCCATTTGTGAAAAAATTCGTTTCGCGAATTCGCTTCATCCCTCGCTCTTTCTCCGAAGAAACCTTGCATCGTGGAAAGCATGCTCCAGTTTTTAGAGACTGTCCCCATTCGTCTTCGTGTCAAAGGGCGCCAAAGGGGTCCATTTTCAGACAAATCTATTCACCCCCCTCAGATCCGTAGGGATTTTTTGAACCTGGGTTTGATATTTTCCAGCAAGTCAATTATATTATGTGCTCTTTCTCAATCAAGAATTCCTTGAAACCTTGAAGATCCTCTTCCAGGCCCTTCTCTCGCCCCTCTCTCCCATCGATAACCTCGATTTCCTTAGCATCTGTTGGGACAAAAATTAAAATCTTTTCAGGTTAGAAAAATTCCCGCTGCCCCGACTGGCTGTTCCCAGTTGCAGATTTCCCCCCGCTCACGTCCCCCCCCCCCCCCCCCCCCCCCCGCACAATTCTCTCAACTCAAGTCAACTCGTGCAAGCCTCTGACGCGCAGAAAGACAGGAGAACCGTTAGAAAACGCGTTCACAGCGTACTTTCTAGACTTTTTACCCAATAAGTATCTCCTCCAGGCCCTAAGCTTTCGATTGACACCTCACTTATGAAAATCCGCTCATCCGTCTAGGAGGTGCTTACCAGAATGACGGACAGGTTAGCCTCTTATGTATAAGAATTTTCACCCTCCAGTCAACATCGACTATACAGTACATTCCAAAATCAGCATGAACATTCCGTCAAAATCCCATCAACATTTTCAATCTATTAGCGATATTTAAGTCAAAATGAGCGCAGACTGGGACCCACAGGAGATTGGAGATATATTCATTTTTATCATAAACGCACTAATCCCATAATATGAAATGATTTAACATTTCTGATGACACCAACGGCTTCCTCTCTGAAAAATATGTGGTGGCATGTAGGAGTCATCTCCATCCAAGGCTGCTGGAGAAAAACTCTATTGTGTAAATACCAGCGTACCATCCAAGTGGACTTTCCACAGCGAGGCCATCATAACAATTTATTTTAAATATATCTATACCTGCGTAGGAATAACAGAAATATATTCGGGTGCATCCAAACTGAAACCTGAGAGCATACGAGCTGACCATTTCTTTGATTAAGTACTGTATTTTGAGGAAACTGGGCCTAGCAAGCCGGCGCATTATCGCGCACTGCCACTTCCGTAATTATTTCAGTTTTCCAGATTGTTTTGATTGAAACATTTTAAATATGCGGCAGTAAATATATTATAATTATTCTATGAAAGTGTGCAGCGGTTTTTTTAACTCTTTGAATTCTTGGAAACAAATCCGGTTTAAGTATTACTCTAAACGATGTCCGTGCATGTCGGAAGCCTGAAAAGATTTTAATTTTTGTCCCAACAGATGCTAAGGAAATCGAGGTTATCGATGGGAGAGAGGGGCGAGAGAAGGGCCTGGAAGAGGATCTTCAAGGTTTCAAGGAATTCTTGATTGAGAAAGGAAGAGGAAAGCACGTCCTCATCGATGAAGTCCCCCTCACTCTAGGATTCCCGGATATCATCACCACCAAAGCCCTTTCCGACCATTGGAATTGGATCAAAACCTTAGACGTGAAGACCATCACCATCTGCTTTCGACCCAATGACCAATCTTACACGAGAGATTTCCCCCTCGAAGAGGTCAAACCAGCAGGATATAGCATCACAGTTCTCGATAGTGTGAAGAGGAATACCAGAAAGATATCTGAATTGTTTATGGCCATCGGAAATTACTCCCGCCGCGTCTTCGTATCCTCTAAGCTTTCCTTGAAGATAGACTCCGATGATATAGGCGGAGAATGCCTTCCTCGCTTCATCTCGATGACCTCGTGTCAGGCTCTTCACCGCAAATGGCAAGATGAAATGATATGCGAGTGTGTGCGGGCCTCGGATGCCATATATGAGGAATGCAGGAAGGCATCAGAGAAGAGGCCTGTCTTTGTCGTTGTTGATGAGATATGGAGAAGAAATGCATTCCTCAACACATTTATGTCCTTATACCCTGAGTTCCCTGTTCTTTTTCTAAAGAGGGGAGATTTCCATGGGAAGCCTGCTCCAGAGGGCTCGTTCCCACTCGTCGTCGTCACCGAAGAGGAAATGATAGGATGTCACCCTTTGAACGTGACGGTGGTCCTCGACTTCCCTCGGTCGCAGTGGGAAAACTACAATCGATTGATAGCCTCCACAAGAGAAAACAAGATCCTCGTGATCGAGGAAGAAGCGTGGAGAACGGGCAAGTTTTCTCACGTCCCACCGGGAATAAAAGAAACACCTGGGTGGAAGATCGAGAAGGGAAACATTGATAAAGAAAGTCTGAATGCGAAATTGGAAAAAGTATGGAAAGAACACGGGAAGAAATACCTGTTCAACTTCCCTCAGCAATCCTTCCCTGGAATGGAAATGGATTGGGATGGTAGAGGAGAGGAGGACGCAGACGTGGCAAAGATTCTCGCATCTTCGCTCAGCGGGATATTCGGCTACCCAGCCTCGGGAAAATCAAGGAAAGTAAACTTGTTGATTGGACGAGTGACGGGCCGAGTCCTCATTCTCCACTGCGGCGGGGAGTTGTCTCGCCAAGTCTACAGACAGCGATGGAAAGGAAAGGAAAATGTTGAGCTGGACGAGTTCCATGCAGGCCCTATCGATTCTCTGAAGGTTTTAATCGAGAAAGTGGAAAAGAAGGAGAAGAAGAAGGATGAGGACAAACATATGAAAGAAATGGAAAAAGGGAAGGAGAGAAAAAAGAAGGCGAAGGGGAGTAAGAAACCTGGAAAAGGGAAGGCAGAGGGAAAGAGGGAAGAGACAGGAGAGAAGACTGAGCCAGATCCGCTGGTCGTGGTCGTCGAAGACTGCCCTTTCTTCGACCGGTTTCCAGAAAGCACTGTTGACAGATTGAAAGAGATGAAGATGAAACTCATCCTCGCCTTCGAACCCCATTCAAATAAGACTCCTGATATCTCAGTAGACAGAGTCGTAGAAATGTTGAATAAGAGGCGAGACTGCACAGCGATAGTGCTTCGGTCAGAACTGAGCAACCTGGCTCTCATGAGGCACATCCGAGAAAACGAGACTCCAATTGCTCTCGATTTGGAATCGAAGAACCTGTCCGTCTCTGCTCTTCCAACCTCCATCGTCCCCGGCCTACCCATCGAATACGTGGACATCAAAGCAGAAATTTGCTGGGGAAGACATCTGGGATATATATGCAGCGGGAAAAGCACATGTGGAATCACTGCGAATGCTTTATCTTCCCTCTTGCGATCTGAGCCCTTCGAATCGACGAACGAAGCTCCTCACATCCTGGTATCAGAAGAAGGGCTTTTGTCGCCACTGCGAGAGAAAGTGAAAACTTGGCCTCGTATACAAGTGAAACACCTGAAGGACTTCCGCGGGTGTGAGGCTTCCATCGTCATCTCTTTCAACGTGAGTGACGACTGGCTGCTGGAAGTCATCTCTCGCTCCAGGACTCGACTCGTCGTCATCGACAACCTCATCCAACATCAAAACTTATGGAGACAGATGAGGAAAGAAGGACGTGTCGAACCCATCTCCTGTCCCACGGACCCCGAAGACGACCTCAGGATCCTCCTGGGATTAGATGACCAAGAAATGTTCCTTGATGTAAGACTCTTTCCTTCTCTCGTAACATGTGTTCGTCCTTGCTCATTCTAAACGGAACTTTCCACCTATTGAAATTTTCCTAGTGGAGGTCTTCTTTCAAAGTATCCAAAATCAAAAAAAGTAATCACATCTACGCAATACGTTTTCTCATGCGTTGTCATTACGTGTCTACGCGGTTTCACTCTTTTGCTTTCCCGTGAGTTCGTGCTTTCGTGGGCATTAGCGCATGCAGCTGCTTTCGAGCTTAATTGCGTTGAAAGTGAACTCACCAGAGTTCGAACGCGCTAACCCACTTGCGTGCACGCACGTGCGAAGGTGGAAACTCCATGTGGAAACCTTGGTCGAATTGCACGGACCCTTTCATGAACGTAAGCGTTGCGTTTCGTCTTCGCGTGACAGCCATCGTGCCCGCGCGATCTCTTTAATTCGGACGTACGTGTACCGTATAGCATTTCACTGCATAACGAAAGTCGCACGCGACACGTCAAGAAACGCGAATCGTGAATTCTTAGGCTGGTGTATTAGTGAGAATCCTCTCTCGTTCCCGAGCCAACAGTTAGCCGCTTCGATGGGACCCTCAACTCGTCGAATCGCGATCGAACGAAAAAAAGAACTTTATGAGAGATGAATATCGACGGTCATGTATCAGAACGTGGGTGAGTTTACTCAAGAAATTAAAAGTTATGCCATCATTCAGAAAAGGAGTCCACTCCTGAATCACGCCAGCTCGGCTCTTCATATCGATCGCCTCAATGATTCACTGCATGCTGAGGATTTTTGCCTTCCACGACACGGACGAATCGTGAGATGTTTCATTTCTTGAGAACGTTCCCCACGTTGCAGCGTCCGACCTGGGATGAAGCAGGTATTCGAGTGGGAGAGAAGGCAATGCAAAGAGGAGACATCCTGGACAGGGACACCGGCGCCATTCGCTTCCTCCCTCCCGAGACATTAGCAGCCATCGACGAGAAACTTTCTCAGTCTTCTCCTTTCAGCGATTGGGGATACGTGTGGTCTGGTAAGTGGAACATCTCCGAGAGTGATCATACTAATTAATTTTTAGGTTAACATGTACGCACAGCTGGACCGAACACTTGGAGGAGGGAGTCTTTCTACTTCCGACTTCCACACCTCTTATCGAATTCAAGCGGCACTCTCATATTGTTACGGTTCCGCGTGCCTGGAGAAAACCTTCCTACTAACTGGTGGTGGGAGTCGCAACACGATGGTCCGGTTATTGCGAGTCCGTTCATTCACGTGGCATGGATACATGATTGAAAAAAAAGGAAATGAACACCAAGAGAGGACTTCAAAGTGGCCGCAAGGGTACTTTTACAAGTGAGCTGACGACACACTCCTGCAGGCATCACCAAACGGGACCTTACACGTTAAAGGAAATGGAGGAAAATCCGTTGGACCGTTAGACTCTCTGAGAGTTCTGAATTAGGATGCAGACATTCCGACGTCTTTAGTTCTGGTTACCAGTACAAAATAGAGAGATGTGGCAGAGGATTAACGAAGGCATTCATTATGAGAGCTTCCAGTCGAGGTAAAAGGTCGGAGGGGAAAAGTGACAACTTCAGGTATATGCTTGTACCAAAGCTCTCGAGAGACGGCTCACAGAGAGCACCTCCTCCGCCTCGTCGTCCCACATTTAATCCCGAACCTAACTTCAATTCTTTTTCCGAGTACAGAATAGCTTTGGGAAGACGATTCGCAAGGGGTTATCCCATCATCAAAGAGACACAAAAGCGCTTCTTTCGTCCTTTCTCCTGTGATAAAGTGTACATGACCTGTATAAAATGGACATGCTACTTCTCGACTTCGCATCAAAATAACCGACATCAAAAGTCTCATCACAACTAGTAGCATTACTTCATATGACTTTTCCTGTTAATGCCTTCATGAAATGTTTGTATCATAATCGGTGGCAATTTAAAAATCACGATCCGTATAATAATAGCCGACGTACTCCGGTCTGTCCGCCGGAGGCCTGCACGGGTCGACTCTTCCGAATCCGACCCGATCGGCCCGATTCGAGTCGTGGTCCTACCCGACCACTCGACCCGAAATTCCATCGCCGAACCGAGATTTTAGTGGATGCAGCACGCTGGTCTGGTTTAGGGGCCGCTTAGGCCTCTAAACTTCGCAACTCTGGGTCTCTGAGTTCGTCTTTTTTTCTGAGCGGCTCTACCGGCTCTGCTGAGGCTTCCACCCGACGTCCCATGACGTCACGTTGGTGTCGGCCTGTTCGGTGCTCTCACAGTTCACTACGTTCCACTGGTAATTCCTGGCCCGAGAGTGACGTCATTTAATGACGTGATCCCATCGAGCGCAGACGGAACGAGGGCGTCGTTATTGCCAGCAGCTGTAAACGGCTCGAGAAAAAGACCCCTCCGAGTGTATTCCAACGCATTCGCCTGGACCCAACACGAAACTTGATCACCAACCGATCCGCCGGTCGGGTATGCTCGATAGAGCTCATCTCCATTTCCTACGGAGCCGAAAATCATCGTTCGAGTGAAACGAGTCTCACTCCGTCGCGTCGGGGGGATCTCGCTAAATAATTTATTCATAGGCACTGGGGTTGGGGTTTCTTTTTGGGTTCAAAATCAATTGGGGGCCTCTGGTGACGGAAGAATCTCACGTACTCCATCTCTTTATTAATGACCCCAAATTTGGCTGTTAAAAAAATCCTGCGAAATGTCTCATTTGAATGCCATTCGAATAAATTCCATTAGCCACAATCGGACGTGAATATTCCACAGGTTACGTCTTCCTGACTGTCCGCCAGAGGCTTGCGCGTGTCAACTTTACCGAAACCGACTCTTTCGGTCCGATTCGAATCGTGGTCCAACCAGACCCAAAACTCGATCGCCGGACCAAACTTTACAGGTCCCCCCACCCCCCTCTCCGCGGGTCGTGTCGGGTCGATCGCACCAACCCACAGCCCGCTTAGGCCTCTGAGTTTAGAACTCGGGGTCCTCGGATTCGCCCTCTTTCTAAGCGGCGCTGCTGACGCATCCGGTTTTCCCATGACGTCACGTTCTCCTTGGCCATAGATTGTATAGCCTATATATTATTCTCCCCAATATGTCTCTGGAGAGGCTTACGCTTCCTCGAGACTTACAAGTGCTTCCGCCATCTTGGTGAAGTCGCGCACGTGGGAATGAGTAGCGTGATCGGTTGGGTCCCGGCGTTGAGGCCCCCAGGCATATAGCTCGTGGAAAGTTCCCTCTTTTGCCCTCCCCCTTTCCATGTGTCTGCCATGAACTCCTTGCACGTGCGAATTCAGTAAGATGGCGGCCACACCTGGGAGGGTGCAGCGCTTCGCGCCACGGGGACGCTCCTCCCAGGGGTACAACCAAGGGGGGGGGATCAAGGGGTCTGAACCCCCCAAACCCCTGCTCATAATGGTATCTCTCTACTTCTCCATCCCCCCTCTCCCCTGGGGGTGGGGGACGCTGAAAGATATCAGGAGCAAACGAACCGAGAGCGAGGCTGGAGAGGCACAAAGATAGGAGGTGAAAGAAGAAGGTCACGCCAGTTACATGCAGCAACTCACTTTAGTAAAGTGAAACTGTCAAGGAAACGTCCGTCACATGTGACGCTACTGAATTTTTTTTTCATGAAACGGACGGACGACGATTCAAATAAAAGGCGCCAATCGTAAGATTAATGAATTTCCAGTTGCACGTCTGCGCAGTGATATTTGGGCTGAATCCCGAAATTAATTTAGTTCATTTTAACCTTTTTCAGATATCGAATGTATTTTCATCATTCAGTGTTCAAATACCGTTTCCATCATTTCGTAACATTTTTCTTCGTTTCCTTTTCTTTGTTCGCGTGTTCGCGCCGTTTCGCGTTTTTGATGAGTGCAGTCTCTCTTGATTATTTGATAACACCCTTTTGTATTCAGAGACATTTGAAAGACAGGTCATGTGAACTTCGAACCACCCCCCCCCCAACTTAAGGCCTGGTTGGGCCATGGCCCCTCCATTTATACACTCTCTATGGTGTTGGCCTGTCGTGTTGTCATAGTTCACTGCGTTCCGCTGCAAGCTGCTTCCCTGAGGGTGACGTCATTTAATGACGTGATCGCGTCGAGCGCTGACTGAACGAGGTGCCCTTTTCTTGCAAATAATCCTTTTGATAGCGTATTCGCCTGCACTTGACAGGAAACTCGATTACGGACCGAGCTGCTGGCCCTATCCGTGGGTCGGGTCAGTCCAATAGAGATTAAACTGGGGAACAGAAAAGGGAAATTTGAGATCTAAGAGGATGGGAAGCATCTTCTCTCCTTCGTCTGATACACCGAGGTTTCGAATTCGTACAAATTGTCTCATTTGAATGTTATAGAACCAAACCTGTAATTTGGTATATTCTGAGATTGGTTTAAAGGAGGGGGCGGTCGGGAAATGGTGGGGCGCACGCAATTTTATCGATTCGAAATATGGTCATTGAAAATTCCACCTGTGTTTCATTTAAATTAAAGAAAAAAAAATCCATTAACCTGAAATAACCTAAAATAACGTGAATGCTTCACGGGTACCAGCTAGTTAAATATAATCTCTTATTTAAAAAAAAAATATTGTTACAGAGGGCCAGAGAAAAAAAAATATTTTAGCGTTGCCATGGTGGGGGTGGAATCCTTTCACTCCAATCACATTGATAAATCTCAGGTCAATCACGAAGTCTTCTTGCCCTTGGGATGCACCCTGGCTCTTTCTCTGACCCTACATGAGTTTAGTGTCACTATTAGTAAATGCTACAATGAAATGCATAGAAATCACAGTGCTTACTCAGAACCACTGTTAAATGAAGCCATAATGACAATGCAACAATATTAGACAGAAGCTGAAACTCCGTTCTATTTCGTATCACAACAAAGATGGTTGGACTCGACTGACTGTAACTTGTCTGCACCTTCGACATGCTGAGGTCGATTTCTTGTACCAGGTGCTTTCCTCGTCCAAATGCGTCCGTCAGACCCTAGACGATTCATCTGTACTAGCGAGCGACCTTCCAGTGCTGCTTGATATCGTTACGGTTCCGCACATTTTTCTCACTACTGGTGGTGGGAATCACAACGCAATTGGTCAGAGTAAATACGATTCTGGGTTCATTAGGAAATGGAGAGCGAGATGTGAAACATGACAGGGCTTCAGATGTGTCAGGGAGGCATCCAGGACCGACGGCGCACTCCAGTGGGCAGCAGCAGCCGGGATCGCACCAGACGAGGAAAAAAAAAACAAAAAATAAACAAATGGAATCGCCATGAGATACTGGATCAGTTAAATACGTGCAATGTCAATCTACAGAATGGAAACCGAGGTTGTTTCCCAGTATCAAATAGCCGCACATCGAATCGCTCGATGACGAGGGAAGAAAGGGTCGGAATGTCTAATCCCGGGCGAAAATGGAAAAGGAATGCCTACTCTCGAGAGGGGAAAGGATCAGGAAGTAGGAAACGTCTAATTCCAATGGAACATAGGAAGAAGGATTAGAGAGAGATACCAATCCCCATAAATGAGAAGTGTTCCGAATTAGAGTAAACTGTAGTCGGCTCGGGGCATTCGGGAAACTGTAAAAGAAGGGGGAGAACCTCACCCAAGTGTCTCTGATCCTAGAGCCCAGGACTTCTATTTCTGACACTTAGACTTATTACTCGTGGCGTATTACTGAACATCATATTTGCCATAGTGAATATGAACCAGTTTTTGGCCTAGTCTCCATCAATCTGTCTCGATTATGGGGGTGGAACCCTGCACCGGCTGCAGCCCGGCCCGATCGACCCGACCGGACCCGACCCCAAGGCCGTCCAATGCCGCAATTCCCAACATCCATCTTCGGGTCGGACCGAATTTTTAAATGTTACCGCTTCTTCGGTCTGAGACTTTGGAAAATCCTTGTCATGATTGGAATCTAATTTATGCATCTAATCCGAGAGATGTAAAATATTTATTTGTGTGACCAGAAATGTAAATTAAGAAAAGAAGGAATCTGAGACGGGAATGTAGTAATAGGTGCCACTCGATAACGGCATATGTATGACTCCTTCTCTTGTAAGAAATCTTCTTATTCGAATCAGAAATTGTCTTTCATAAGTACGGAATGGAACTACAATGGAGCAGTTCTACGAGCGCCCTATATTGACGCGATGATTGACACCGGCCAAGTTCCGTGACGAATTAGTGAGACGATCGAGATGCCTCCTTGAGCCGTGCTGAGAGTCTCTGATGAACGCGTTACCTTCGAGGAAATTTAAAATGGCATCCCTTTGGATGCTGTACATAATCTTTCCTTGAATGCTCGCGAGACTTATCGGTCTACAGTTATCCGGATGACTCTTTTCGCCCTTCTTGGTATGACGTTCGCTAGCTTCCCAGTCGCTTGGCACATTTTCATGAAAAAAAAAATCCTTTCAAATAAAATTATTATCGGTACCGAAATTTTGCTCGCGAGTTCTTTAACCATTTAAAGCATGATTTTTTCTTCTTTGGCAAAAAAAAATAAGGTAGGTTTCACTCACGTCCTAGAACACAGTTCAAGTGAAAAAAAAAATGCTTTAAACTAAATTTATAAGCAGTAGGCCCGAAAATTGCCCAGTAGGCCCGATATTATTGCTCATTTGCTGCATTTTCAGCTTTCTAGCCGACACTGCATGGATGCTAGAGAGCTCAGTCGGTCAATCAGCATTCGTACATACTTCAACACGATGCTAAGAGATTCCGCTCAGCATAGCTAGCTAGCCGTTCCTCTCGCACCCATCTCGTTGACCATATTTACTGCTCCGACGCTCTCATGGTGGTCAAATATTCCTCACAGTCCGCTCGGTTTCCGTGCGCCAATAAGAATCCCATTTTCGCTTCTCGTCCCTGATGAGTGCCTTAATTTTACCCGTAAACTAGACCGGCCGACTGAGCGATCCTCTTGGACTTCTTGGGAATGCAGGCTTCCATAGAGCCTTGCAATATCGTCTTGAATACCTCCCACCCTCGCCCTCATTGCTCCTCCACCGTCAACCCATGCACCCTTCTCTCCCAATCGATGCCCAAACGCACTCGTGCAGCCAAGCAGAGTTAGCTTTCCTGTAGTGTTTTTCACTTGACTTTACATGATTTTTCACTTGACTCGGACACAAGGTGCCAGGTTTAAAGTAGTTAGTGATATCAAGAGGCGATTGCACCCATTTCGATATCACGTGTCGAGGTCGAGCGTTCCTTAATTTTAGGGTAAGTCTAATCCTCTTAAAGCTTAATATTTTTGCATTTGTGAGATTTTTTTGCTTATCATAGTTGCTTACTGCATAGTCCCTATCTTCAATATTGCCTCCACCTTTTGCCTCTCCATAAAAGCATCCAGTTCCTTCTTTAAAATAGTCACAGCCAAGAGGCAGCCACTACTTCGTCATCTAACGTATTCCACGCGTTCACCACTCCACAAGTATAGAATTCTTGTCTCGACTTGGGCTGCACCAGCGGTTTATGCAACTTTAGTTGAATACCTATCGTTCTCTTCCTGCTATCGAACTGTAAAAACCTACCACACTCGACATTATCTATTCCTTTAATTATCTTGAAAGCCTGGATGAGAGGGATAAGGAATTTCTTTTTGCAATGTAACGAACCCCAGGGGGTCACAAGATATGAGGCACGAAAGCCTCACTACATATGCACACTATTCAGTGCCTCAGTTCGATGCATTTTTTCTCGAAATAGTGCCTTAATTTTACCCGTAAACTAGACCGGCCGACTGAGCGATCCTCTTGGACTTCTTGGGAATGCAGGCTTCCATAGAGCCTTGCAATATCGTCTTGAATACCTCCCACCCTCGCCCTCATTGCCCCTCCTTAACCTTCTCTCTAGCGAGTACAGTCCCAGCACTTCTAAACGCTTCTCGTACTAAAGTCCCCTGACCTCCTTAATCATTCTTGTGGCCCTCCTCTGTATTCCTTCGAGTGCCATCAATTCAATCTTATTTGTAGGCCTCCAAAACCGGATGCAATATTCCAACTGGGGTATTATCAGCGCCGCATACAACGGAAGAATAACGCGTGAAGTCCTACTTGCAACCAAGGACGAATTAAACCTAGAATCCTGTTGAAATAACGGTCGAAATAACTGTAGGTCTCTCGACAGGTTCGGCGAGGTTAAATTGGGGGAAGCAAACGGAGAGGAAGATGTAGGAGTTTCTGTGGAGGATGACCAAGTTTTCCTCGCCCGTACAAGCAAAGGTAGCTAAATGCGACACAAGCGCCTGGGACGGTACTCATGATTACGCGTCGAAATCAAGTGAAAAGTGTCTGACTCTAGTGAAAAACGCTGTAGTTATGACACATTCGTCGTTCGGGATACACAAGTTATCCTGAACCATAACATCGAGCGCCAGATGTCCATCGCTAAAACCAAATCCAATAAAGTTACTTTGCGAGTCGGTTCTTCAACATTCCGTACAAGGAGAGCATACTGAATTGCTGTGGAGTCCTCCTCCTGCCCTAGGTGAGGTAATGAGTAGAGGGGAAGAGTCCCTGAGTTCCTACGCTGAATGGCCATAGCGGGCCACTCACTCCTTCACACCCTCGTCCTGTCCCATCGCAGCAGTCCGTCCTGAACCCTCGGCCAGAAACACGTGGGCGCGTGAGTGCGCCAGGAACCTCCGGTCGGACAACACGTGGCGTGTCGAGCCACGCATCCTGACCCCCACAGCCGGTCAACACAGTGTACCGCGGTGTGAGCTCCGAACTGCGAGCCGGTCAGCATAGCGAACTGCCGTGTACTCATCTCGATCCGACTACCTGTACCGCGGTCGGCGGACAGGAACCAACAGATTCGATCGTCCACAGGACGAAGTGCGTGCGAGTCCCCCCTACGAACGTGAGACTGCATCTTCCCTGTATCCCTCCTTCCGTTCTTTCCCCCATTGATGATCCTAATAAATTCTGCACAGTTGTTAATGTTGATCTAAGGACGTACCTTCCTTCCTACTTCGAGTCAGCGGAGTTGAGATTCGCTCCCATGCTAAATTACCATCTATAAGAACAGCAACCTTCTTGATTATCATCCGACCACATTGAGTCTGATCCCCCACACTCAGAGAAATCGGTAAATAGAGATGAACTACTTCTCTCAATTTTCGCGTTTCGATTTATTTTTCTCAAGAGAAAAAGACATCAACTAGATTTTCCATTTGTATCTCTCGCTTCCCGATCGTGCAGGGTCGCCTGAAAGACGTTCGCAAAACCAAAATGCGTCTATAACCGAGTCGAAAGGGTGTTTTGAGTGGCTGCGCATCGTCTAGTACCAAGACTTGGGTTCTAGTCCTACCCTCAACAAAATAATTTTTTCTCGACTTGAGAAAACGGCGATGTTGACCAACGAAATAATTTTAATTTTACAAAATGTCCCGAAAATTTCATGCATGTGTCTAATCGATTCTAGTCACACGACATGATGGTGGCTTGCATTAATAAAATGTATTGATCTTAATTAAATACGTTTTCTTCATCCCTTACAACAGGAACAGGACATTTCCATTTCCATGGTAACCTCCGTATTCCACTTCATCGTGAAGAGGAAGCCCCCTCCCCCTCCCTCCCTCCCTCCCCCCATGAACCCTCGGGGCAATGCATTGACAGTCGAGGGATTCAAACGCAACCAGCCTGAGTGCATGGCCTCTTCGCCACTTCACCTTCCCTCCGACCCGCGCGTGTAGCTCGTGCGTCTCGAAGGGATTCCCTTGTAACCCGCTTACTTCATTATTCGAGTCCAGTTTCATACGGTGTTCGTATTCCGTTTGGTGCGTTGGTGGTGCAACATGTATCGCCGATATGAGATCCGACCGTTAACTGTGGATATTTAACAGTCCTTTAAGAATACATGGATTCCTATGGGAGAAAAAGAGCTCCTTCGCTAAAAGCCCCGTTGTCTCCCTTAAATGAGGTTCGTGTATTCGGGCTTTATGCTCAAAGGCCACTATATTCCCACAATAGGACACGCAGGGCAAATTCGATGTGGCTGAAGTTAATCACGAAATGTTCAATGCGGTAAAAGCGCATAATATACCTGACCTATACATGCAGAATCAAATTAATGCATTTTCGTCGAGAAAAAATTGTCCTCCATGTGATGCGTTTTTATCGCATTCAACATTGACGCATTGACAACATTTGACGCGATAACCGCATCCAAAATTCAAGGCGATAAAGACACATCACATGCAGGACCGATTTTTTCGAGAAAAAATGCATCGAACTGAGGCACTGAATTGTGTGCATATGTAGTGAGGCTTTCGTGCCTCATATCTTGTGACCCCCTGGGGTTCGTTACATTGCAAAAAGAAATTCCTTATCCCTCTCACTTCCCCCTCGCGGTACCGTCCAGTCTATATTTAGGAATGTTTATGTCCCTGAAGAGCAATACCTTGTCATTATGCCACCTTTTTCTTTTTTTCCTTTCCCATTACACTCACTCTCGTCCCTTATAACAGGTTTGGCAGGAGAGGTGCCTGCAGTTTCTAAAGAAAAGAGTGAGGAAATCCTCAAAGTTCTCAAGCAAAGTGGAGTGGAGTGGCATGAGAGGTACCCCCCTGTGGCCCTGAAGACAAGGACTGGGAGTGGTGCGGCAGGATTCTTGGAGACCATGTCTCTCTTACTCACAGGATCCCTCCTCCACCTTCCACTTCTCAAGGTCTCTTTCTACCCATTGTTCCTTCCGTTTATTCTCCCGTCCTGTATTTCCATTCTTTTTCTCCCAGCAATTATAAATACACTGCTATACCTGTGGCTCTTTCCATTCCAGGTCATTCCTGGTCCATTTCTAACAATAGAAACCGAATTCCAAGGCAATTATGTATCAAAATATTCAAGGATATATTTTGCTTGAGTCATTATAATGGTCTTCACTTTCACATTTTTAAAATTATCTTCTTTAAGGTACATCATGTTTTCCTAAGAGGGATTCATGCTTACAAGGAAGAAACCTCAACTCTGATCATTTTCTTGCTTTATCAATAGATGGCATTGAGATCCATCAGAAGGTTTGCATTTGTGTACCTTCATTTTCCTACGAGAGAAGCATTTGCAGCAGGAACTCTGAATTTATTTTGGCACTAAATATGCTCTGTGAATGAAAATACTGCTCAGGAATGTCCATTCAATGGGGAGAAAATTTTGATATACAGTATATCAGGTAAAAAGCAAACATGTTTAAATCTGTGGCATTTGCTGGAGTTCAAGAGGCAACAGACACCACAGCAAAACTTTTTAGATTTCTAAATATCCTCTGAACCTCATAATGTTCCTGTCCTTATTCTTATTGAATGGTACAGAAACAGAGAAACTGATTAGTATACACAGTGCATATGAAATATCAGGCTCACACATCTGGTCACTTATCCATAAATATCCCACACAGCACAGTAACATCCTAGGGATGGTCCCAAGTAAGACACATTCTCCCAAGGCTGCCATGTGCCATCCTAACATCTTCAGTCTAACAGTTTCCCATGCACTTCAGGATATCTTTGGGAGAACTAGGGAACTTTTTAGACATCTACAGTTATATTCTTCTTAAAATCCAAAAGTGATTCATTCAAGACTAAGTGTGTCAAACACTTCTCAATATGCCCAAAAGGATGTCCTCCAGATATATTTGGTCAACTTCTTATGGATAACCAGGAACAGAATCAATATCGATAGACCACTATTTTTATGTTAAAAGGTGCTCAACTGATGATATGATCAGGTTGTCATCTGAAGATGAAAGGAAATGGGGGCAGTTCCAGGGATATCAGCACGTTTTGAGGGATCTATTCACTAATTGGGCATGGAAGACATGAATTAACAGGTCCATAATTTCAACATGAAATATCTCCCACTTGTCCTCATCTCCCAAGTTAGATCCATTCTATCAATTTGTTCCACTTCATTTGTACAGAAGATTAGCAATGATTATAGTACTGTGCGCCAGGNTGGAATGCGTTAGATGACGAAGCAGTGGCTGCCCCTTCTGTGACTATCTTTAAGAAGAAACTTGATGCTTTCATGGACAGGCAAAAAGGTGGGGGGGCAATGTTGACGTTAGGTACTAGACAGTAAGCAACTAGGATAGTCAAAAAACAAAAATACAAAAATATATAAGAGGGTTAGGCCTACCATAAAATTGAGGAACGCTCAACCACGACACGTGATATTGAAATGGGCGAATTCGCCTCTTGGTATCACTAACTGTCCTGACTCATGAGAATAAAGCCATTGGAGTTACTCTGAAAAATTTAGAGACCGTAACTGTTTCACCCCAAGCAGGACATTTTAGGAGAGGGGGATTCCAAGAACCCGTTCCCTCTAATCCAACGTGCTGCAGATCATCTGAAGAGGGCCATTATTCTTATTGGAGAAAGAACTTCTTGTGAGCACCACATTTCATTCCTTCTCTTCATCTTTTGTTGGAACTGTTGCATGTAAGCAAAGAGTGAGTCATAAGTAACCTTCAAAGTTTGAAGCCTCACAACTGAATATGAAGGGAAGTTGTGTTCTTTTTAATTATATCAGCTTTTAGAGCCATGTAACACTCAAGCAGAAACGCCTGAATATCTAAGAATACTTCAAATTTGCTTTATCTAACAACATAGAGCAAATGAGCATTTTGACAACATTGGTCACTACATTCAGCAATGTTTCACAACTCAAGTCACATATTGCTTTCACCATCAAATGAAGCACAAGAATGTTTGGAGGTATTAGACATATTAGGAATCAGCAACTTGATTCATGTATCAGACCCACTTTAAAATAAATTTTTCTACAATTTTCCTGCATCTTATTCTTTGGGGGGATATATCCTTTTCTCCCAAAAATTTTTTTTTTACAAAATACCTGTAATTCACTGGTCATTTATTCAGATCGAAATAGCGCCTGCAGTTAATTGAAACAGAGATGTAAAAACATGCTACATAGAGCATAAGTCATTTCTCATGGAATTTTCTGAGCCACTGCAGTCTTCCAATGTAGAGAAATTCCAGCTTGCATCCTTCATCACACTCTTCATCCTCGTGATGCTTTGAATGTCCTATGAGAGATCCTTCTTGCCTGCATGTTCCTGTAAAAAGCAATGAGAATTTGTATTGCCAGGTTTAATTTAGCCTTCTCCTTAATCCATTTGTCCATGCAACTCTCCCTGATGTCATACCAACAATCTATCGCATGGATGCCCAATTCCTTTGCGTCCTTCTAACTTGGACTTATTTCCTGTTGTGAAACTTCTCATACATTCCCATCCATTTTTATGGATTATGAAACCAATGTTAGACACCATGGTGAGATATAGTGAGAATATGTGCTACCATTAAAGATCATGGCAGTGAATGAGAAAGTTGGTTTGGCCAACTTCATTTCCAACTCTCCACTTTTCTCACCTACCTTGTCCCCAAAGACTTCATGCAGTGAAAAGTGGGGATATGTCCAATACACAGGGAATCTATTTTACATGAATTTAGGGATCAAAAGTCAAGGTGCACCATATACAATGTTGCACACCATACTCAAGTAAATATGATAATCTGCTTTTAGGGGAACGGACATTGCGATGGGTGTAATAAGGGAATACCACCTGGATAATTAAGTTCCAAACAAGGCTTGTGATATATCTTGTCTCCCTTCTTTCACCTCTGCTACCTACTATCCATGGGTTGCTTGTAAAAACTTGCTCTTTTGATGTTCTGAATCTTTCTTGTTGGTTCATTTTGAGTTGTCAACACCTGTAGGGCTCTAACTCAATTCTCCAAGTAGTAAGGTCCTCATTGCACCAATTATATAGCATACCATTGCATTACAACAGGTCATTGAAGCCATTGTCATAAGAACCACTATGTCAGTGCACCTGCTTCCAATTCAGCTACCCAAATTGTATCAATATGCTAATTTGAGTTGATTCATGCAAATTCATTAAAACTTTGCATAGCCTAACAAATATTATTGTCAAATTTCATACAAACCCTACTATCTACCTTAAAAATGAGTACATGAAAACAAAGAATTTCCACGTTTAGAAAAGAAAAATGTTAGTTTTTCTGATTCATGCCACATCATTTTCTTTTCGAACCCCTGAAGGTCACAATCAAGCATAATCTTTTGAAAGCAGCATGAAAAGGATTAAGATGACAGAATGTTTGCACATGCCCTTCCAACATCAGCAGTCATGATACATCAAATTTTGTGGGTTGCTAGTAACTACCCCAACATGAATGTGCACATGCCTTTTGAGGATCTACCTTCCTACTCAATGATTTCAAAGTAAGATGTGTAGCATAATTCTGACTCCTTGTGCTATTTTGGGATGCTACCACTTAAGCATGAGATGAACTTTGGCGAACATTACCCTTGGAATTAAACATGTCAAGACAAAGCAAAAGAAATAAATCTACGCCTGGCCTCTTTTTCTTTTTCCTTCTTCTTTCTGACTACACATCTCTTAGCAGATGCCTCTATGTAAAAAAAAAAACTTTCCTCAGTTCTCATGGTGCTAACCATCAGGAAAATTCTCACTTCAGGAATATTTATTTGCAGGGAGTATTGTTCCAGTAATTTGTTCACAATTTACTATACTGTATATGCAGAGAGTTCAATGAAGGCTGATTGATTTCAGGGAAAACCTGACTTCTGAGATGATAGCAAAAAAAACCACTCTTCTCACAAATATATATTAATAGGTGCCCCACCTATATATTTGTGAGGGGGATGGTTTTTTTTAATTTTTTTTTTACTAGAGCTGAAAATTTATTGCTAGCACATCATAAAGAATTCAACAAAATGGAAATCTGCAGGGCATCTTTGGAAGAAAACTATGCATCCACATACCACAAGAAACACTGAAAATTGGTGCAATTTCTTATCAAGGTGGCAATTGCTTCCAGTCCCTTCATCTGATGCTGAGTCCCGTGTGGGGTTTTCTTTTGGGTGGGAGGGTGCTTTAACCATAGGGAATAAAATTGGAAACGAAATGAGACTTATGGTTGACAGAGGCACCGTTAGGGACTGCGGCAGATTAAGGTGCTGATTAAGGCAATGGATCCAAATAACCTCAATGTTTCTTAAGCCAGAAGTCACATGATGAAATCACGAATCCTTTCTCAAAATTGTGCAAATGTTTACTGAGATACTTCAGCAAAGATAAATATTATTTAATGCAGTCAACTGCAATTTTGTTTTTAGAGAAGTCCTATGATTGAAATAAATAGGCATCATTATTAAATTTTCTATGAGTATATCAAGGTTTCACGACTTCATTTAAAAGCTAGAAGTGCTGAATCTGTAATTTTATAACACCAACGTTGCCCCCTGAATTACTTACACTGACTTGTGCCAAAGGTGCTAGTTTTGCAGCTTTGTTTTCCAAAGGTCAAACAAATCTGCCAGATTGAAAATTAGCTTCACCTTTCAGAGAAACAAACCTATGCCAATTTTCCTAGCTTTGACCCTCTGAGATAAGGCGTCAATAACTCGTAATCTTTGTGGGCAACTTTGATTCCCTCTGGTATAAACGGCTTCACATCTCAGGGAATATTCATACTTTACAAGCTCATCTGAAAACTTGATGAATATTCCCATTAAATATTGAAGCCATTAAAAAAATATACAAGTCATCAATTAATGAGGTTCAAAGACATTCTCCTTAGCATTCATACAAAACCCCATGTTATGATCTGTATTTTCCAATATAATGTATGCTCAGTTGGTCAAACAATACAGAAGAATTTACAATTGTACCTTCTATGGTTTGTGAATAACAGTTTTTATTAAAGACTTGAAACTTGAAATGTTTACTGTGAGAAGTTATCCATACCTTTGGAAAAGTTGTCCAACAACGGTCATTCCCTTGGATGTCTGTGTTATATGGGTATTCATGAGTCAAATGTGAAAGCAGCAATCAGACACGGTTGGCATGGTCTCCACCTGGCAGCACAAGCAGAGGCTAGGAATGGAATAGGATCGCTTTGAGAATCCCCTTAAATAGAGGGCTAATATTGGGAATCCTTTGCAAAAATTCATGACAGGCATATAATTATGCATTCCAGTTTTGAAGAAATCCTGTTTCTTAGCCCTGTTAATTTAAAATTGTGAATTGCAAGCTACAATAGCAATGAATTATGCATATGTTCTATGCCAGCACCCCACTAAAATAACCTAGCTTGCACTTTTGCCAATAATTGTGACTGGAACAATCTTCACAAAATATATTAAACATGGGAAGACCTCAATAACATCACAAATGATTTTGAAGCATATAGGTTTGTGAATCTTGGCGAAATATGACATCAAAAACCTTATTTTAAGCCAATCATCTTGCATTATTTGTAGTCTTTTTAGCTTCAGAATGGGAGACTCACTAATCAAGCAGAACTCTCGCATATGGTTTCAATAATCACAAATATTTACATGTGAACCCTCTCATACCTCAACCTTTTAAAAAAAATACATTAATGAAAAATTGCAGTTCAACTAAATCAGCTGGAACATAGCTAAAAGTCATTGTATGAGGTACTTGGTTACACATTACCTTCAAGATTTCAAGAAGTCTTCTGTAGTTGTCACATCTGAAGTACGTGGTATGAAGTTTGGCTTTGGGTTCACCAGGATGGCAGCTTCGCAACTACCGCTTGTCCAATGTAAGAGAAAATAATATTCCTTCCTCATTCAGCAACCCATAACTTTTCATACTTCTTTGTTAAAAGTTTTCTGTGGAAAGCTTGTATCAAAATTTTAAAAGTTTCATCCACTTAAAGAACATTTATTTCATCGCATATACCAGGGCCAGAATCCAGCCCATTGCAGTTCAGAGACGTGATGCAGAGTAGGCTGTGATCATCCAATGGAATGAGTTCATTCCATTGCATCAATAATATACAAATGTGAGAGGCCATCACAGAGTAAAGCAGAGATAAGATTGGGAGGGGGTTCCAACTGAGATTTGCAATTGAGCATCAAAGAAGATGATGCATGGACACATTATTCAGTCTCTCATGAATGTAGAAACTGTGTGGAGCGGAGCTCAAAGATGATAAAGATAGTGACTAGTTGGGGAAGAAGAAGTGAGAAAGTACATCCTCACATCTAGAAGGGAAGCAGAAAGGAAGAGGGTAAACTTTGTTCCTGGAAACATTACCCATCTTACATGCATGAAATATAAAAGGAAAAGAAAAAGTATAGGTGGAGAGGAAAAAGTAAGGTATAACAGAAAGGGCAATCAAGGTGGTACAGGCAGTGAGTGCAAGGGTTAGAAGTCAAAACTCCATGGTGACTCTTGGGGACACAGGAGGATGAGCAGGTGGGAGGACAAAGGAGCATAGGAAGGAAAACATACAAGAGAAATAGTGAGTGAAAATAATATGGTAGGCTGATAAAAAAGCAGGCTGGGCAAGCACAAACAAGTGGGGCTCCATTCAGTGAAGGGGATCCTCATTTTCACTTTTAATTGAAAAATTGCATCTCTTTCCAATCCAAGACCATCACAAATCTCATTTCCAAGTTAGAGTTGGAACACAGACATACGGTGCCTATAAATGATGGAAGGGTGGAAGGATGTGCATTACGCAACCATGTACATGTGCTGGCTCCCACTCTGGTTGTCTAGTGGGATCCATCCACCAAGAAGATTGATGGGGAACTGACAGCTCTGGTTGCTGACACAACACTGGAACCAAGGCCTAGGTTGTATGCCCATGCGCCTGAAGGTCTAGATCCAGAAGGGCTCATGGGTATTTGCACCTTCCCCTCCATCAGCAAATTTCAAAACCAAAATTTGTAATAAAAATGCCAATTTTTATGCAAATTCAGCAAAACAAACTCAGCCTGCATATTTTCCATACCTACTAGCTTACCAATTTTCGATTTGATCGGGCTAATATTTTCTTGATCATCTTCAGACAACCGAGACAGACAAGACAAAACCATGAGTGGCCTCCTTCCTTTCAGGAAAAGATGCCCACTAAAAGGGAAAAAAGCTCAGCATTTCTGATAAGGGGTCTACATCCGACTTTTAGAAGGTTGCACATAAATATTCAATGGA